TTAATTATTAGAAAACATGAAGAAATCAATTACTTTAAGCAATCGATATCTTCATGTTTTATAACAATACTTTTATAAGTTGTTTAATTTAAAAAAGGTTTAAATTTCAAATTTTTTAATGTCTTCATTCCAATTGAAAATCCTGTTCTAAAAATAAGATTAAAACTAGGAATTGTGCAAATATTTTTCTTCTTTTTCTATAACAAAATAATAATTTTCTTTAAAAAATTGTGATTCACAAACAAAAATAATGCAAAATAAATAAATTTTCTATTTTTTAATCACAGTTGTTTAACAATTTTCTAAATTTGTTTAGAAGTAAAGAACAAAAATCTGCATAATTTCAATTTGACAAAACATAACATTTAACAAAAATTTAGTCTTTTAATGAAAAGAAGTGAAAAAAATTCTGATGATTTCTATTTGTCATTACAATTTTGAATTAATTATAAAATAAAAATAATTATAACACAATAATAATATTATATAATAATAATAATATACAATCTATCTAAAGATAACAAAAAACAAAAGTATAAACAAACGACAACTTCAGAGTGTGAGGGACAGAAAATGTGAATGAATGAAAGAATGAAAGAACATTCAAATTATTATAGTTAATTATATAATTTCATAAAAATTATTAAAACTATAAAAATAATATATAAATTGTTTTTTAGAAGGTAAGCAAAGATTTCTTCATTAAAATCAGGGATTAAAATAATAAATTAATGAAACGAATCGAGAGAATGAAATTTAAAAATGAAAAAATCGGAGCTTTTCACGGCACAGAAAATTTTGGGGTATTATTTTAACTCCAAAATGGATTAAAATAATTCATCAAAGGATTATTTTTTAAAATGTTTTAAAAATGATTTGGTTTTGATTTCGATACATTTTTTTCATTGAAAAAATTAATCCAAAATGTAAAGTTAGGGTTTTTAATTTAAAATTGTTTTGCAGTTCAAATTGTCATGTCAAAAGTTTGACAAATAATTTGTAAATAGAGTGATTAATGTTTTAGTGATATTAATTCCACTATAATTTTTACAAGACAGTAAAGTAAGGAAATTTTATCCGAAGTATTCAAAAAATATCAATTTAATGAATTTAATCCAAATCTTAAAAAGTCTATGAATTTTCTTTCGCAGCTTAAAAATGAAAAAAAAATCCATAAGGGACGTTTCACGTCAAACAGCCCAAAGCTGTGCCCAAAATTTTATGCAATCAAAATACAAGTTATGCACATGAAAATACTCGTCATGACATCCCCTTTCAATTGCAAAGTGGCATAATTGAAAATTCAAAATGGCGTCCTTGCTACGTCAATTAGAAGAGGCTAAAAACTCGAAAATAAGTAAATATATTTATTAATTGCTTTTAAAAAACGATGCATAAATATTTGGTCAAAATATATTTTACTGATTTTGGGGTCGCTGATTACGAATCTGAAGTCAGATTTTCAAAATTCAGAATGGCGGATCCAATATGGCGGACGAATTTTAAAAAATTCATTGAATTTGCTTAAAACTTTTTACTCAGGGGTTTTTGGGGTTGCTGATTACGAATATGAAGTCAGATTTTCAAAATTCAAAATGGCAGATCCAATATGGCGGACGAATTTTAAAAAATTTATTGAATTTGCTTGAAACTTTTTACTTGGGGGTTTTCGAGGTCGCTGATTACGAATCTGAAGTCCAATTTGCAAAATTAAAAATGTCGGATCCAATATGGCAAACAAATGTTGTGAAAATTCGTTATTCTTGAAAAATTTTGTGAAAGATTGATGAATTTTCATAAAAAATATTTCTCGTGGGTTTTCGGTGTCGTTGAATACGAATATTTTGTCAGATTTTTAAAATTTAAAATTGCGGTCTTATTTTGACAGACGGCTTTTTGAAAATCATATGCAATTCATTTAAAAATTCTTATTTCAGGTGTTCAAAACCCCCGAGTTAGTACATTGCGTAACAAGTGTGAACTAGCGGCTTTTTTGGAACGAACGCTGAGTTTTTGTAACGAGTTTTATTATTATTATTAATAATTAATAAATAAATACAAATACTAAGAGTTTCTAACCTTCTTTTCGTGATCGCTCGTGTAAAAGTTCCGTTTTTATACATTAATGATATTATTTTTATTAATACGTCGAAGTACATGACTCGTTACGCAAAAGTAGCGCGAGTTCCAAAATGCCGCCACACGTGTTGCCCACGATACTTTACATAACAAAATCATAAAAAGGCGTTGACACTGAAAAACTTATTTAATTGAAAAGAATGTTGAAAGACGGGTACATAAGATTCGGAACACAGATCGCCTGTCAAGCGTACGTTACTAGTTGATCGCGCAGGGGGGTTCGGGGGGTCTTCCCAGATGGGGTCCAGGGGCGGAGCACCGGTCTGGGGGTTGGAGGGGGGCAAAGTCCCCCAACTACAAAAAACCAACTCAAAAGAATAATAATAATTTTCGACATTTCGAAGAATCGCATTTTATAATACCCCAAGCCACCGAACACGTTGGAGGCGAAGCCCCCCGAAACCTAGTCATGTACTTCGACGTATTAATAGAAATAATATCACTAATGAATAAAAACGGAATTTTCACACGAGCGATCGCGAAAAGGAGGTTAGAAACTCTTAGTATTTGACAGATGCTGTGTTGCAGCTTTAAGACACGGTAAAAGTTGGTAACTGAACAAAAACATAATCACGCTTCTACTGGACGGAATTGCAACTACTCGAGCGTTACAAAAATACTCGAACAAGCACAAACAAAGTTCTTTTTTGAACTCAACTGTCATTCGCAGTATTTTCGTAACTACGTACTAAAAAGAATCACTTTACGTTGGCCTACGGAGAGACAAATAACGCCATTTTTATGATTGCGGTATTTGAAAAAAATTTCAAGCGAATTCAATAAGTTTGTTCAAATTCGTCCGCCATATTGGATCCGCCATTTTGAATTTTTTAAAACTGACTTCAGATTCGTAATCAGCAACCCCGAAAACTCCCGAGTAAAAAGTTTTAAGTAAATTTAATAAATTTTTTAAAATTTGTTCGCCATATTGGATCCGGCATTTTGAATTTTTAAAATCTGACTTCAGATTCGTAATCAGCAACCCCAAAAACCCCTGAGTAAAAAGTTTTAAGCAAATTCAATAAGTTTGTTCAAATTCGTCCGCCATATTGGATCCGCCATTTTGAATTTTGAAAATCTGACTTCAGATTCGTAATCAGCGACCCCGAAAACCCCCGAGTAAAAAGTTTTAAGCAAATTCAATAAATTTTTTTAAATTAGTCCGCCATATTGGATCCGGCATTTTAAATTTTTAAAATCTGTCTTCAGATTCGTAATCAGCGACCCCAAAAACATTAAAATATATTTTGATTCAATATTTATGCATCGTTTTTTAAAAGTATTTAATAAATATATTTACTTATTTTCGAGTTTTTAGCCTCTTCAAATTGACGTAGCAAAGACGCCATTTTGAATTTTCAATTCTGCCACTTTGCAATTGAAAGGGGATGTCATGACGAGTATTTTCATGTGCATAACTTGTATTTTGATTGCATACAATTTTGGGCACAGCTTTGGGCCGTTTGACGTGAAACGTCCCATAAGTAGAATTACAGTTGCAATTTTTATTAATAGTGATAAGAATTGATATGGAAAAGAATTTTAGTTAAAATTTTAGAAAATATTTGAAGAATTGCAGTTTTAATTTTAATTAATTTCAAAAAGTTTTACATTAAAAGTATTTAAAAATTTTAATTCCCAGTTGTCAAATAAATAACAATAAGTATTCAAATATTTATTATACAAAAATTAAAATATTTTAAAATGAGTGAATTGATTAAATGAAAACTATTTTGATCATTTTTTAACTTGTCGTGTATGAAATATTTGACTATATTGTGAAAATATAAAATTATGTTTATTTATATATATATATATATAGAGAGAGAGAGAGAGAGAGAGAGAGAGAGAGAGAGAGAGAGAGAGAGAGAGAGAGAGAGAGAGAGAGAGAGAGAGAGAGAGAGAGAGAGAGAGAGAGAGAAGAAAAATATTTTATATGTTTTCTCTATGAGTTTATAATTCTAAACGTTGCATTGAACATTCGATTGCTAATAGTACGTCAATTGGAATTTTCGAAGTTGTCATGTACGTCTACACGAATGTTGTATATATATATATATACGTGTGTATTTTAACAACCAAATCCGAAGCCCCACGAGAGTTGCCATCGACGAGTCGAGTAGGGGGAATGATAAATCCTGGATTTCACACGATTAACCCCCCTCAAACCCTGTATTCTATATGTTAAACCTACCGGTGTTAAAACCGTCGATCAAACTCTGCATTTGAAGTCGATTGTCATCTCATGTTCACTTATATAAAAAAAAAATCAAACTGAAATTTAATCTTCAAAAAATTTGTCAGTCCAAAAAATATTTTTCTTTTTTTCCTTCTATACTAGTTTGAAATTTTAAAATAATTTTTAAACTAATTTATAATTATTTACCAATTTCTTAGTTAAAAATATCTTGAAAATAATTATTTCAGAATTTATAATCTCTGAAAATTTATTGGCAAAAGAAATATTTTTTGTATTTATTTTTTTTTAATTTTCAAATAATTTATAATTTGCACTCGACTGAAAATTGGTCAGTAATTTAATATTAAAATAATTAATACATATCACATTAAATCTATAAGAATGTTGCTAAAAAACAAGAAAAAAACTTGTTGAAAAAGTTCGCAGCACATAATATTCATTTTTAAACTCTGATTTTACATCCTTATGGAGAAATATAACATTGTCGGTTTTAATAATAATAAAAAAGAACTATCCTGCAAGAAAATATATTGTTCCCAAAGGTCACGTTTTCTGACATAAAAAACAAAAGTTTAACAATCTCTCTACCTCTCTAGAAAAAAATAGGAAAAAAGAGAAAAAAAAGTTTGTTATAAAATTGTCGTTTAACATTTTTTTTCAGAAAATAAGGCACGTTGGTGTTGAAGAACCAGTATCTTCTTCACCATCATTCTTAAAAGATTCATCTCAGGTTGATGGCATCTCGAGACCGAATTCTGTCGACAGGGTTATTCACACTGACACAACTCAACACATTGTTGCAAGTCATGAAACTCTCAACAAGGTAAGACATTTTACTGCATATAATTATTGTATTCAATTAGAGGAAAACGAAATATTAATTAGGTTACTATTATGTAATGATTAATTAACCTTCTAATTAACCTAATTTTATATCTAATGTAATAATTAATGCATAAAAAATTCATTTTCTGGATTATATAAAGGATAAAAATTTACCACTGTTATTTATAAACAAAAAGCAACATTTTGCAAACTTTTAATTATTTTATTTTTAAATATTGAATTCAAATTTTAAATTAAATAATTTAAAAAGTTGACAATTAATAAAAATTCAATTATTAATTTATAAAGGAAATTTGAACTATTATGACGTCACAGTTTCAGCAAACATGCTTTGCTCAAACTGTGATGCCATAGTAGATCAAATGCCCTTTCGATGAAAGTAATTAAGAATTCAATTTCCTTTTATCAATAAATTTTAATAGGAATCTTCTATACAATTTTATTGTTTTCAAAAATTTTAATAGAATTCTTCGAAACAATTCTATTACTTTTAAAAATTGGGATAAAATTCTTCATAAGAATTCAATTATTTTCAAATTCCAAGTTATTAAAGTTTCGAAAATTATAACATTTTTTAAAAAAATATTTTATATTTTAAAATATCAGAAAAGTGAAAGGAAATTTGTAAATTGTTATTAATAAATTATTAGTTTCCTTCTAAAATTTTAAAATATAATTTAAATGAACACAAAAATGTAAAGAAAGATGAAATTGCTAATTTTGGTTGATTTATTAAAAAATCCAACTCTCAGTACAATAAAAAGAAGAAATTATATTTATTTTCGTCAATTTAATAAAAAACTAATTTACTAGGTATTAAAATACAAAAAAAATAGAAATTATGAATCTGAAGACTTTTATAATTCCAATTTTTCATTTGAACTAAAAATTATAATTATTAAATTTTTTATTTTTAAAATAATTTCCTGAATTTTATTTTATTTAAAGAATTTTTAAAATTAAAAACTAAAGATATTGTTAATTTTTGTTTATTTAAAAACCAAATTGAAATAATTAAAAATTCTTTCTTAATCCTTTCGATTTTAAACTAATAAATAATATATTTAATTAAAGGAAAATAAAAAAAAATATTTTATTTAGTTTTAAAAAATTAATGGTCAAATTTATTACCACAACCTTTTTATGAAACAAATTTAAAAAATAATAAAATACAATTTTTAGAGTAATTACAAAAAATGACAATGGCAAATATTTGTGATACACTCTAACCAATTGTTTTTTTTTCACCCCCGAAGAAAAATACAGATTGAAATGAATCAATTTAATTTAGGTTTGAAAAATAGAACAAAGAGAAAGAATTTCTATTGAAAATTGTTATCGAATGAGATTTAATTAAAATTTCACGAATAGAAATAAACAAAAGAGAAAAAAGAATTTGAAAAAAATTTCTTTTGTTTTTTACATAATGAATATTATTTTCTTCTATTACGATTCTTTTCAAAATTTCACGATTTATTTAGTATTATGAAATGAAATTTGAACTTTTATATGAATCTTTTTGTATAAAAAATGAGAGAATATTTTAATTACAGGGTGAAATTTTTTTAAATATTAGAAGTAATTGCATTCGTTAGTGAATAATTAACAATAAAATTTTTTAATTTTATTAAATAATTTAAATAGAACAATAAAATTGGGTAATTAATTAGAATTATGAATAAATTTACTCTTTTTCAAATGAAGAAAAATGTTGTCCCTCTGGTGAATTTTTCCTCAAATCGTGCGAATTTGTCGGTACAATAATTTTCCGGAAGTCGGTAACTGAGACAGCTTTAATTTTCTCGAGGAAAATTCTCCCTTGCCGACAACATAATTTTCCACCCTTTGTATTCAAAATGATCGAAATTCTCTAGCTGGAAAATCGATGTAGATGTTTGTCGAGTTGTTTGAATTAGTTGCCGAGCGGTGGCTCCAGTTTACTGGTAAAATACTCACTTTCTGTTTTATCCAAAGAAACCACGACCTACAACACGTGGATTTACAGTAGTCAGCTTGCAACTTTGCAACTCGTCGGCTAGTCAAGTTCTTTCGTAAAAGTAGTTTTTTCGTTCTAAACAGTGCCAAATGTATAGTTTTCAATTTTTGAAAATTTATTCCAAAAATGTGTAAAAATAATTTTTTTTCACCAAAAGTGTATTGTGATAATGTTGCCTTTCATTTGCAAGTGAAGTGTTTAGAATTTATTAAGAAGGTTATTTTATTCGTTTCAAAAAAATACTAAATAAATTAACATTATAAACATAATTGTTTATAAATAATTTTCAAAACAATTAAAATAATTACAAACGTAACTGAAATAGTTGAAATAGTAATCACAATATTTTAAATAATAACAGAAATAGATTAAATAATAACAAAAATATTACTTAAAAGTAATAACAACAATAGTTTAAATAAAAACAAAGATAGTTTAAATAATAACGAAAATGTGAAAATAATTATCGATGCAATTCAATTATTATTAAATTATTTAAAAACAATTATTTAAAATAACTGTATTTCAAAATGATTTCAAAAAAATTATAAACATCAAAATCTCTAAAAACACATAAAATTATAAACAAAAATTAAATAAACTGACTCGTAAATACTTTCAATCGAAACCTTAAAACTTCTAAACTTCCAGAAATCCCACCATTAAGTAACGTAAATACGTAAATGAATTAATTCTCAATTTTTATATAAAAATCCAAAACAAAAAGAATGTAAGAATTTTGCAATCAATTAAATAAATGCTGGTTGATTATTTTGAAAAAAAATTACGAGAAATTAGTGTTAACAATAAACAATTAGTAACAATAATAAACAATAATAAACGATAATAAAAGATAATAAACGATAATTAAACAGTAATAAACAATAAACAATAATAAAACTATAATAAAACATTAATTAATAATAATAAGCAATAATACATAGAAATAAACAATATTAAACAACAATAAACAATAATGAAACTGTAATAAATAATAAACAAGTAGAAATAAAGTATGATAAACAACAATAAATAATAATTTACAATATTGAATGACATTAAACAATAGAAAAAAATAAAAACGACAATAAACAATAGGAAACAATAAAAAATGATAATAAATAATAGAAAACATTAGTATACGATTTAAAAACAATAAAAACTAATAAAAACTTATAATAAACAATAATAAACAATAATAAACAATACGAAACAATAAGAAACTATAACAAATGATTTACAATAATAATGAACGATAAAAAATTAGTAAACAATGATAAACAATAGAAAGCATTATTATTCGGTTAAAAGACAATAATTAACAGTAGAAAACAATAGGAAACCATAATAAAGCTTAACGACAGTATTAAACAATAGAAAACTATAATAAACCTTTTAAAACAAAAATAATAAATAATAAATAATAAATAATAAATAATAAATAATAAATAATAAATAATAAATAATAAATAATAAATAATAAATAATAAATAATAAATAATAAATAATAAATAATAAATAATAAATAATAAATAATAAATAATAAATAATAAGAAACCTTAATAAATTATTAAGAAATAATATTAAAAAAATTATACATTCTATTAATAAAGTACCTAATAAATAATAATAAATAAATTATTGAAGTTTCCAATTGAAAATATTCAAAAATTGAATGTTTAGAAATTTAAATAATTTTCTGAAATAATTTAATTCGAATGTAATTTCGATGCAAATTAGATGAAGGAAAATTTAATAAAGTTTGTGAAATGCATTTGAAAGTTTTAAAGCTCCGAGGATTATAAAAGTGATTTTATTATATTATATCCTATACAGATAAGTAGTAAATGCTGCAACAGTCAGACACGAAATGTCTGATCGAAAGTTGATCTCACCACTTGGAAATATTTAGTTCAGTGCACATAACATTTATGCCACTCAGCATTCTATACTTTTGAAATATTAAAATTGTTCTAATATACAAAATGACAAATTTACCATGTAATTACATAATTCACGAAATATATATCTACATATTGCGATAAAATTTTGTAAAAGTTTTTCAGGTATTTTTTTTATATTAACACTAAATATTAACTACTACTCGTTAAAACTTACTTATTCGAGAGAATTTATACAGACGGAAATATAGTGGATATAATTGCATGCTATTGCGCCATAAATTTTTCCCGCTAATAAAAAAAACACTTTTCCTCAACAATGAAAGTTCAAAAAAAAATTAAAAATACTTGTTTTATACTAAAACAAAATTAAAAAGTAATAAGAAAATATGTGATTTTATTAATTTTGTAATTACATATTTATTACTTTTTGTCTATTGATTCACAATTTATTATTTACTCTTTAATTATTTGAAAAATAGTTTTCTTTAATTATTTCTTATTTATATATTATTTTTTCTCATTTGTTTTTTACTTTTTATTAATTATCATTATAATTTGTTTATTTTATTATTTAGTTTTTGGATTTACTTCTTTTCAAAATTCTCAATCTAATTACAAAAACTCAATAAAAAAATTATTATAACAATTAATAAAAGTAAATAATTATTAATTATTATTTCGGTTCCTGAAGTTGGCATCGATCCTCAGCATCGGAAAACTATTATTTCTTATTTTTAGAGATAAAATTTTAACTAATTTCACTTCTTTCATTCACCTAGAAAGAAAAAAACTTTTTGAGAGTACTTTTTAATCCTTAAACCTTGGGAAAAATTGAGTAATTTTTTCGGTTTCGTACAAAAAATTTTTTTTGATGCTGAGCATCGATGACAACTTCAGGGACCTTAATATTTACTTATAGTGTTAATTATTCCATTCACTTAGGTATTATTTATTTATAATTATGCACCATTTATTTTGTAATTATATTTAACAGCTACTGAAACAAATGATTTTTCAACACATAATTATAGAAAGAACTAAAATAAAAATTATCATAATTCTAAAAACAAAAAAGCA